AATAATAATAAAGATCAAATTTTATTTTGTGTGAACTATTAGGAAAGTTTCTATATCTCTACCCTCATAACCCATTTAAATAGTGCATATTACCTTTTATTTTCCTAATCAATTGTCCAATTGTCCGAGAACCGCTTTGAAAATTAATTGAATGTTGAAAATTTTTATGTAATTCAACAAACAGAAGTCATCGTGAAACTTAGACTTCAATTTAGTACGGTATAAATTATTGTTACCTTCGCTGAACATGGCCTGAGGTTATACCTATTGTGCTCAACGGATGCGTAATGCAGGCCTGTTATGTATCCCGAACAGGGACGTAGCCAGGATTTTGAAAGGGGGGGGGGGGTGGGGAGCCGTTATGCGAATTACGTAGGACTCCGGTGGGGTCAAGGGGGCGAATCCTCCTGTGAAGTAGCGCACTCTAAACGTTCTTAGGACTGTTTGAGAGGATGAAGTGAAAATTGCAATAGGCGCATTATAAATAAGCGCAAAAATAATTATATAATAAATCAACAGTGGCAGATCCAGGAATTCGAAAGAGAGGTGAACGAGGGAGGGACTTTCACAGACCGAGGAACCACCCACCTCAGCCCCACCATGGTTGTGGCTGAGGTAAGAAAATTTATGATTAAGGCATCTGTAGATGGCCGGAAATTACACTCTCGCACTTCAATTTGAATATATTTTTCTTTTTTTTCCTTAAAAAATGAAGGGAGGGGCCTTATATCCACCTCTGCTCAAAACATTCTTTATCCAGAATAGTCATACTCACGAAAAATTGACATGAAAAACCAGATCACATCCTAAAAGCAAACAGCAGTCACTAAGACATACATCAGGAGCCGACTCGATGGAGTTTAATGTCATACCCAGGGAAGGGCACAGATCTGTTTTGAAAGGTAGAGGGCATTTTGTGAGTCGACACCCACCTCAGGCCCACCATGGTTGGAGCTGAGGTGAGAAAATTTGAGGAAAGGATGGCCAGAAATGACACTTTTAGTAAAATTCACCATCACATCACCATTAGTCAAAGTGAAGCACCAACAAAAATTCTCATGATCTTTTATCAGGGATTTTTGACAACCATAGAAATCTTATTAATGTGTGTGTGATATACCATATAGAAAACAAAGCTTAAAAACATTGTCTTTGAGTATGGACTTTACGTAGGCCTACTTCAAAAACATGATTTCACAACCTCAGCCCCACCATTGCTGGGGCTGAGGTGAGAAAATTTGAGGAAATAGTACCTCTCGAGATGGCCGGAAATGACACTTTTATGTAGTAACATTCATCATCAACACATCACCATTATAGACAAAATGAAACGCCAAAAAAATTCTCATGATCTTTTATCAAGGATCTACAATATCCAGGACAACTTAAGCCTAACTATAGCTTACAACAAACTTTTTTTTTTCACATTTAGCACAATTTTCTTCACTTTTTATTGCTATTAATATCATTATCAATTATTACTATCGTCATCATCATCATCATCATTGTTATTATAATTACTATTAGTAGTAGTATTATTAAATAAAAATTTAAAGAGACTTGCAAAAGGATAAAAACGAAATTGAACCACAGTATCGCATTTCTATCTTAAAAGACCTGGCCTGAGATTTATGGATTTAGGCCTATGTGTTCTATTAGGCCTATGTATAACGTGTACTGATGCATATTTACATGTTTTAGAAGTATTCATTTTGAGTGATCCTAGAAAAGAATTTGTATTGGTTCAAGAATAAGCTTTAAACTTTTAACACTGTCCCCTGGATACGTCCCTGATCCCGAATAGAGGATTGGAAGGTTCTCTTCACTGGAGGGACAAATTTCCATTGTCAGTGTGGACGACACTAGCTTAATTTGGCACTGCAGCATCAATGCTGCTGCTGCAAGAACAATTTGATACCCCCACCCCTCTGACTTAATGATTGTTATACAAGATTACTCAGACACAGCTTGAATATCAATATAAGCCACATATTACAAATAAAGACGTGTATGGAGATATTCCACCCTGTATCAAGAACTTTAAGGGCACGAAGTTTAGCATTTGCTGGACATTGCTACAGAAGTAAAAATGAAGTAGTGGCGTAGGGTGGGCTGTGCAGCCAGTGCAGAGCACTGGGATCCAGGGCTATTAGTGGCCCTATATATACATTTTGTTGACTGTTTTTTAAACTTCTGATGTTCTTTTTATATTCTGTAACAAAATTCATTAAACACTATTTTAACAATGATTTAACCACAAATGTAACAACGTACAATATAGAAGTCGAAAACTTATGTACATTCCCAAATTTCACATTAATGATGGTTGTGCACTTTTAAAATGTTATGATTTTTAAATATAGATGTTAAAGGTCAGATTTTAAAAAGGATCTGAACAAGCCCAAAATGCACAGGGATGGTCCATGTGACACTGTAAATATAGTAATAATTTGTAGGTTAATAATGGATATGTGAGGTAAAAAGAAAAAAATAATAAATTGTTTTTATGACATTGTCAATAAGTTTTAATATAAATTATATATTTTAATTTTAAGGGTCAAAGTTCATAGATAAATTGTCAAGTTTTCTGAATAATCCATAAAGCCAAGTTTTTAAAAGAATGATTATTTTAAAAAAATCAGAAGGATCTCACTACATTGTAAATATGCCTTAATATAATTAGCTGAAAAATAAGGTGAAAAATTCAAAACATGTCAAACTTTTCACCATAACATCAGGATATAAAAAGGGGTGCTACTATATTTTATAGTAAATAAATGCCTAGTTACACTACAACGAAATAAACATAAAACGTTTATACTATGAAGATTTTATCGTTTTCTTTTTTTATGATTATATTATGTTACTTGATTAGATTTGTGAAAATATATTTATCGTATACACGATAAATCATTATTGATTCGTGCAAGTAAGCAAACGTCTTGAATTTATGTTTTTTTAATAGGAATAATTGCGCTTTTTATTGTTAATTGTTATTGTTCAGGTATAAACAGGCCTTAACACATCCCCATGCTGCCTGGGTTCGGTTTAAGCAAGTCTTAAAGTGTACATTGATATAGCATTAGAATATAGTTTTTATGAAAGCATCTGTATACTTTGTTGCGTCGGTTGGTCAGGTTAGTCGGTCCTATTATTATTATTATTATTATGTTGATCGGTCATCCTATTGTTAGTCTGTCAGTCGGTTGGTTATTTATTGCGGCTCCATCAATAAATAATAGATTTGAAAACAGGAAACATCTTATTAGAATTGTGTTCTTGTTATTCACAAGTGTGGCCTATGGGTTAGTGAACTTTTGTAATGCGTGCATTATCAATAGTTTCATTTTTAGTAATATACTATCAAAACATTTGTTTTTCAGGTATGACAACTTGACAGTTTTAGTTTTGTCTATTCCAATGTTTTTGGCTTTCAAGTGAAAATTATAATGATATTTTTTGTATACTACGGTAGTTGCTGCGTCGGTTGGTCAGTTAGTTGGTCCTGTTACGTTTAACATTTAGCTGGCTGTTTCTCAGAGATGTTGATCGGTCATTCCATTGTTAGTCTGTCAGTCGGTTGGTTATTTATTGCGGCTCCATCAATAAATAATAGATTTGAAAACAGGAAACATAGAATTGTGTTCTTGTTATTTACTATATAACTCCATCACCGGTTCACACATCACTATCTGGTTATATCTGATCAGTTGAAACATAGTATTGCAGCATTACATAATAATCAATAGAAGTTGATGAAAACTATCCTATATATAAAATACAAAGCAATGAATTGACAACCTTCACTAATGTTCGCTTCAAGCTACCATTTGTCATTTGAAAACAGGAAACATAGAATTGTGTTCTTGTTATTTACTATATAACTCCATCACCGGTTCTCACATCACTATCTGGTTATATCTGATCTGTCCTTTGTTTTGGCTTGTGTTGGTATCGGGACACAGTGGGGATGTATGTACGCAAAAAGAAGCAGAAGACAAAAAAAAAATAACAAAAATAACATTTATTCAATGAATTTCTTAATTTCATGTTATCTAACCCTACTATGCAATATAGTTTTGTTACGTGACCAAGATAATGTGGCATCAGCGTGTACCATTAGAGAATACAGTAACATGATCAATTAAAACTCATATATATATATAATTACATATATATAATACAATCATAGAAATAATAATATATATTATGTATATATATTATATATATAAATATATATATGCAAGAGTACATAATTTATATTATAAATATAATAAGTAAATACTTATATATATTTATATATATATATTATGTTTAATAAACATAATTATTAATTTACATAAATTTATTCTTTTGTTTTATTTTAGACTTGCAATAAAATTTCTTTAATGAATTTAGAAAAAATTAATATATCTGCAGGTGGAAAATGGCTAATCAAATGTTTTAAAACTACGAACAGATTCTAAAAAAGTGTTCCCACCTCTCGTGGTTTTGCAGTTGAAACATAGTATTGCAGCATTACATAATAATCAATAGAAGTTGATGAAAACTATCCTATATATAAAATACAAAGCAATGAATTGACAACCTTCACTAATGTTCGCTTCAAGCTACCATTTGTCCATTCGACCTGTCCATTAGTTTGTGAATGGGTACGCCGCAGTAATAGAATGCTTTATGTTCCATTTCTTGAATAACAGGTCATTCAAGGTCTATGGAAAATATCTTTTAGTTAGTATTTCCACCATCTTATGTTTTATATTCAGTACAAAAACATAAGGATTGGTACAATAATAACATTATTGTAAGCAAATCAAGTTAGGCACAAATTAATCAAATTATGAATTATGTTGTTATACTAACTTTCTTTGCGAATATACACAGTACTAATAATATTACATATATAAATCTTACTAAAGTGATTTTTAAAAATTACCATCCCTAAACAACTGCTAAAAATAAATATGAAAGAAACATTAATAAATAATAATAATTTTCCAATGGCCATGAAGACAGATTCAGCTGATTCGTTAGTTATTGCTTCTGCCTCTGTCCACTTCGAAAATAGGTCGGTGCAGGTTACAAAATATTTATTACCTTTGGTCAGTTGTGGGCATAGTGCCAAAGAGATCTATTCCCCAAACCTTTAAAGGTTCTTCTACCTGCAAAAAAAAAAAAACATACGTTGTTTGCAAAACATCATAGCTAAAGAAAACTACTGTAAAATTAGGCTATCGGCCTGAACATTTATTTTTCATTTTCACTAATTATCGCAAAGGCCCCTATAATGAATTTGGTAATGAGAAATGGTGATAATGATTCCAACAAAAATAAAGTAGTAGTAGTATGACCGCCTAGCAGCTTATTATGTTAAAAATCACCCCTCACATATTTTTATTTATCGTGTAACCCGAATAATTAACTTCTATATTTTTAAATCATTGTTGTTTGTTTCTAAAAGGGAGAATTGTGTTATTCATTTTTATTTAATTTATATGTTGTTGCATTGAGGGAATAATAAATAATACGAACAAAAAATATGATTATCACACAACACAATGAGAAGAAATAATTGAATATTTGTCATGGAAATTATTTAAAAAACGACGGTATGAGTATTGGATCGACATGGGCATAACACAATATGCAGATTCACTTAACATTGTAATATAAGCAAGACTTCAGTAGTATGCAAATGTGTAGAATAAACTGCCGCACATTAAAAGAATCAACTAATTATTTAAAAGAATAAAATTAACATAACTTAAAGAAATATTTCATTATACAATGGCAAGACCTAACTATCTGATCTAACAAACTGTACTTTGCAGAAATGTGGCTTTTCATACATTTGCCCAAAACATGATTTTAAAGAATTTTTTATTTTTATGCAAAAAAATTGCATTAGAGCAAATACAAAAATATAAGTTTTCTGAACAATTTGACACCAAAATAATTTATATAGCCTTATATATGACCATTTCATATTTTTGCCCAATAAACGAATGTCAAGGCCTAATAACAAAAAGATGGCATTTTCATATATTTACGCAAAAACACAATTTTAAAGAAATTCTCAGCAAACATTAGTTTTCCCGGAAACAGTTATATTAGAGCAAAATAAATGTATGTCTTCTAAACAATTTGACACCAAAATAATTTCTATAGACCTAAGCGTTGCAGAGATATGACCATTTCAATTTTTTAGCCTAAAAACATGTTTTTTAGGTGATTCGGAAATCACAATAAGTATTGGATTTCATGCAAAAGGTATCAGAGCGAATATAAATATATGTGTTCTGAGCAATTTGACACCAGCATTATTTCAATAGACCGATGCATATATTGTTTTTAAGTGGCCACTGACCACTTAAAAACAATGCATTTGTTAAACCTTTATATTTGTAATAAATACGCTGAGCATAAAATAAAGAAGCGGTACCTTTAATGTGTAGTGATAAATTATAATTGTATCTCTGGTCTGCTTTTGGAAATATATTTCCCCTCTAAAATTTTATCTTGCCCTCACTTACCTACCAGATTTCAGACGCTGGCGCCGCCACTGACCAGAGACGTAACATGGGATTATGCTTTCCTAAAATATTTTCAAACCCTCTTAACTGTGGTGGACTGTGATGTTTTACTACAGATAGACATACGTATACGAGTCAAAAAAGCCTCAGAAATGAGAAAATAATTATCTTTTTTTTAGTGTTTTCCTTCAATAATGCAAAGTCCTGTTTGAAAATATATTGGTTTGACTGAAATACTTAATAATTAATTCATAAACGTATGTTAATAGAAGACAGTGCAACTTTATATCTTGATTTTATAATATATAGATATATAATATCTGGTGGTGTATTTGAATTGTTATAATATCTAGAACCGGTTAAAATAACTGTGTTGAATTCTGCACATGTTTACCACACTGCTGCAATAAGATGGCGCTACCAAGTCTACCCGAGCAACCCTGATACGACGGCTCTTTATACGTTTGGAAGAGAATTCAAGATAGATTCATCAGACACTTTGGTAGCCTATGATAGGGCGCACGCCTATCCTGATTACAACGGACTGGTTCGAGTCGTAGATTTACCTCTGAGTGATAACCAGCCGTTTGGCGTGTATTACGTTAACGCAACCATAGGGAACAGAACATCGAAGATAACCACAGCAGTGATAGATGAACATGGTAAGAGGGATTGTTTCTTGTTTCGATAGTCAATTACACACACATTACATAATAATAATAATAATAATAATAATAATAATAATAATAATAATATTATTATTATTATTAATAATAATAATAATGATAATAATAATCATAACAATAATAATAATAATAATTAGGTAAACAAAGTTATAACCATAAAAACATACTCATTGATATAAAATCCAATTGTATATAATTTATGGTGTACCTGTCGTGTATGTGCCATGACAGGTAAATCTCTGAAAGGACTATACAATCCAAGGTCATAATGCGTTACGAAATTATAACCGAGGAAAGCATTACTGAAAAATTTTCGTATAGAAAATAAATCAATCAAATGTCTACCTAAAATTATACTTTTGGGAAATGACACATGGAATTAGGACCAAAGGTCACCGAAGGGACGTTAGCTTGATGACATATGATTAGGATGGGAATCAACAATTGGGAGCTGATAAAAATTATGTTCCAGATAGATTAGTATGGATAGGATTTTGTCGTAATTTCACGCATTCAGAATAAGTGTTTTTCCATATATTTGCATTATGATGTCATATCACTTGTATGATTATTCATTCAGGCCGGAAAATCACAGGTTTTGTCAAAAAAAAAAAAAAAATTATAGAATGGACAAAAGTTAACATCCCATCATCACAGAGGTGATGTTATAACTAACCGGTCACTCGCTGTTAAAAGATGATGAATAACTTTTTCTCTTTTGTGGGGTCGTCCCACTTTTATTCATAAGTTCAGCATACACAGTATAATTTGTAAAGAGTTGTTCAATATAGCTTCTTAAAATATCTTTAACAATTTTTTTTTCTTACTTTCACTGAAATTTATGCACATCGGACAATTACCATGCCATTTTTTCTATTTGTTTTCTGTCATTTTAATAAAGGATATAATAAAAAGTCAAGCATTTGTTTAAGCCTGTTTTTTAAAGTTTGTTCGCTTGTATTTATAAACACTATATACAATATTTATAGGCTACATTATTTTTTCGAAATAGTTTCCCTTCAGACTATAATATGGTGAAATTTTTTTCACCAAGTTTAACGAATATAATATTTTTTTATTTTGTTAAGGTCAATCATTGACCATTTCTTTTTTGCTTTTTCATTGCTAATTAATAAATCACAGCTTAATAAACTCTTTAATTCCAATAAAAACATAACCCAAGGACATTGTTTCCCAAGTCCGAGTCTGTACTTAACTTTACTTTTATAGATACAGAATGTAAAAATAGATAGAATTTCATTTGTTCGTTCAGCATAGCATCCATTCTATTTTTTCATTTATATCAAAATTGCATATTTTTAACATACGATAAAGTTTTGCCCCACAAAATTCTATATCCTTACATTTGACTAACATATGCTCTTCATCTTCCTGTATATTACAAAACTCACAAAGATTGTTGTTCGATATATTCCACAGTTTAAGTCTAGATCGTGTAGGTAAGATTCTGTGTATTAATTTATAGTTGAAATGAGAGATTTTCTTCATATGCATCATTGAATTCACTTTGTTTTTCCAACACAGTGGCCAGTTGATTGTGTTGATTTGTTAAGTAGTTTTCCATTTACTTTGAGCTTTTGGTACACTATATTTGTCATTAATGAATGATAAGTAAGAATCTTTAACTTTTTGTTTTTTTTAAATAATAGTGTCGTTGGATTGACATTTTTTTTCACCATGTATTACACAAGCAACTTGGTTTACAATAATTTTTTCCATATTTTCGGAATTGCATTAATTAATGCCACATATTCTATTAGTGTATAAGTTGTTGTTTTTGACAATTTTGGAATTATCAATCTTTATTAGACGGTTATTTACAATTCTATCATTTATGGTTTTAAAATTTGATTCTACCCATGTTTTACAAAAAAGATGTTTAAACGTTTAACTGAATAAATTTATTTTCCCAAAGCCTTTGCTTTTTTACTTCACAGATACATTGTGGGTGCGAAGCATGTATATTATTGTATTTGACACATACATAAAGCATATTCCTATAAAATGTAGGCAACTCTTTTAATGAACTATGCTTTTCAAAGTTCATATCTGTCATACATAATGTATATGTTACAGGAAACATGTAAAAGCATGGAATATATTTCCATTTACCTGGGTCAGGACTTATTAAGCGTTTTACCCAACTTAATTTAAGGGAATCGATTACAGAGTTGAGATCGATCATTTTTAGGCCTCCTTTCATAATATCTTGTATAATTATATCTCGTTTTATTTTTGCTTTTTTCCCACTCCATAAGAAGTTATACAAAATTTTATTAACCTTAGGGATAAATTTTTTGGAATATCTGTGATACTTGCATTATATGTAAGTTTTGATAAAACAAGTGTCTTTATAATTGTAATTTTCCCAAAAAAGGACAAATTTCTTTTTTCCCATGTTTTTAAAACGTGCTCTAAATTAGAAACTTTTTTTCCCAATTTTTTGCAATACAAGTAAGTTTATCGTATCCTATATATTCCTAAAAACTTTACAGGTTCTTGAACGAACGAGATGTCACAAGCATTACCTTTCTTATTTCCCAATCCACACACCTTTCGTTTTATTTTTATTCAGTTTCAAACCTGACACTTTACAAAACAATTCAATTTTTTTAATGAAACTAGCTATGCTATTTTCATCCTTTGCAAAAATCACAGTATCATCAGCAAGTTGTGCTATTTTAACAGTATTCAGAACCTCGTTTGAAGACGGCAGTTTAATGCCTTTACACAGAGGATTGTTTCTTATGTTAATTGCCATTAACGAAAACAAATAATAAGGAGGACATAGGACATCCTTGGCGTATCCCGCTATTCATAATAAAACTCTCTGATGTCCACCCATCGGTGTACATTACCTCTACCCAATGTATGAATTGTTTTCCAAAGCCAAAATATTTTAGAGACTTGAGCATGAAGTTTCTATCTACAGAGTCGAAGGCCTTTTCGAAGTCAATAAAAATTAAAGCTCCCTCTTTATTATTAGTATCTGTATATTCAATTAAGTCCTCGATCAATCTAATGCTTTCACCCGCAAATCTACCATGGATATATCCCTTTTGGTAATGGTTAATTACTGTACTTATTACAGATTGCACTCTCTTTGCAAGTACGTGAGCGGCTATTTTGTAATCAACATTTAAAAGTGTTATTGGTCTCCAATTGGCTAAATTTTCTCGCTCGCCTTTTTTATACAATAAAGGTATAATACCTCTTCGTTGTGTTGTTGATAATTTACCATTTTCATAACTAAACTTAAGGGCTTCACACACTGTACAACTAATTGCATCCCAAAATTTACGGTAAAATTCTACTGTTAGTCCATCTGTACCTGGACTTTTATTGAAACACATTTTAAAAACTGCGTTTTTACATTCTTCAAGTGTTTTTACAAAGAAGTTTACTTGTTCTTTAAGAATTTCCTTAGTGTCTGTGGTATATTTTCCATTGTTTTTTAAAACAGATGTGATGCGTTTCTTTGATGATGAATAACTTCTTTTAACTTCGTATTTAGCCACAATACTACCAATAAACGCCACCGTTAGTGTCACTGTAAGCGTCGGAGAACGGTTGGCAATTGGCTTTGCTGGGCTAGACACAACTAAGAATATTGTATGGAGAAAAAATGGCAATATTTTGAGACTACCATCAAACAGTAACATCTTGAGGTTTAACCAGGTAACTGTAGATAACGCAGGAATATACGAAGCGTGTCCAAGTGGACAAAGATTACTGAGGCTCCACTCTTTCATCAAAGTAATTGTTAGAGGTAAATGGAATACTTTATTATTTTAAAGTTCTTCGACCAGGGAGGTATTCTCATCAACATTAATTAACAATGGGTATATGTAGCGTTTAATATTCTAACAACATTTATTTAATCACAATCAATAATAACACAGCAAAGTACGGAAATAGACAAATGGATTTGATTCGGATTATTTATAGAAGATTTAAACAAAACTTGTCTCGAGATAAACCCCGAAAACTACATCAATAATAGTAAAAATAAAGTAATAATAGGCCTAATTATTATTCATTATAATTAATAATAATAATAATAATAATAATAATAATAATAATAATAATAATAATAATAATAATGTACATTAATTGCCAATATTTGTTTTGTTTTCAGGCTGTCCGTCTAACAAATGGGGACCACCGACTTGTTTGGGAATATGCGATAATTGCTACAATGGTGGTGTGTGTGAAGTGGAAACAGGAAGTTGTATTTGTCCCGCTGGTTTCATGGGAAGCAATTGCCTCACAGGTACAAATTCGAGTCCCAGGGGAGGCTGAGTTTTTTTTCTTTGTTACATTCCTCTTCTTTTAGGTTTCAATATATCAGCTGTCTCTTATACACATCTAGATGTGTATAAGAGACAGATATATACCTTCGATAACTGTACATCGTCTTTACATTTTATTTTACTTGAACACACATGCAAATCCACATATATGAAGTAAATGTGTGCACGTGTGTTTCAAAACACATAAATTAAAATACTGCGTAACGGTAATGGGAACTCACTGTGTTCTGTGACAGTCAAATTTGCAGGCAGTAAAGAATTAGGCATATATATATAGTCACATATGGTATGTAAGCCTAGAGTTTAAATACTACTGTATTGGCATGATATCTAGTGTCTTCATATCACAATTCTTACGTACCACAGCGTGTGGGGGTAACAGATTCGGATGGGGTTGTGAACGAAGATGTGCATGGAGTGAGACCGATCCCAAAGATGCTTGTATCGGAGATATATTTTGTCTCCCGGAACCAGCTGGATGTCGGTGTGCTGCCGGTTTTACAGGATTGCAATGCATTTCCGGTATTTGTTTTTCAATTTTACTTGATGCTTTTACAATGATCAGCTCTATTTTCTTCTTCTTGGTTCATTTGACTTTGGATATACCATACAATATATAATTTCTTAAGATTTATTAAATTAAAATCCTATAATTGTATTATTATAGTATAAAAATATAATAGTATAAAAAACATTTTTGTGATGATAATATAATATATTATTAATAATAATATTGTTACTACTCAAAAATAGTTCAATAATACCGTGTGTTATTGTTCGGTCATAGTTATTGTTACAGTTAAGGTTCATGTTTTGTTTCTGTTTCTGTTTATATTCCTATTATTATTATTACAATTATTTAGTTATTATTTCTTTTACATAATTGCTAGGATGTCCTGATGGAAAATACGGTGCAGGCTGCAAGCAAGTCTGCCGCTGTAAATCGAAATCATGTAATCGGTTCACTGGCGCATGCTCAAAGTGTATGACATCATGGAATGGGGAATCCTGTCAGAGTAAGATGATCGATGTATCATTTAATATGAATGTTTTAATGATGACTTTGTCGAGATAAGTAAAGTTGTAAATGAGTGTTTGTTCTCCTGTCTTCGTAATAACCCAAATTAACATGGAACGAAAAAAAAAGAGTACTAGTAATTACTAAAAACATCTACTCAAAGCAGACCATAGAAAGGATCGTTACGACTGAAGCCATTTATGAAGACGATTGGACAATATAGGCCTATTAGATACTTTACTTTTGTAATTTGACGAAACTTCTTTGACGACAGAAATTCTCAAGTGTATCATGATGCACCTACAGCAATAAATGTTTTTAGGTATTTAGTACAGGCATGAACATCAAGTGCGCCAAACGCTTCTCAAATCATTCGTATAGTCTGTACAATATTGTTCGTTGTAATACTAACAGATATAATTAATTATCATGATTAAAATTTTTATTTTATTTTTAAAACTGTAACAATTCAGTGTTGAAATGAAGTTTTTAAAGAACTAGTCTCACAACATAAAAAATGAAAATTGCTTCTTCGAATTTTCGACTGTCATCCGACAAACTTTTTTTCAAGAATGAAGAAACTGGTTTAGTAAAACCTTAGTCACGTGACAGCGGAGAAATGTCCGAGAGGTGGGGCCTGCCTTCTGCTGGTACCTGCAATATAAATCGATCCTTTGACCCCCGTTGAAGCCATCTGGACTCACAATTCAGGACAATAAAAATTCAGTATTTTTTTTACTGCAAATTCTTCCATAATGGTATTTTATTCAAAATGCAATTTTGAATAAAATACCTTTATGAATGAATTCGTCACAAATGTAGTTTACGGACTTTCATAATTATTACAGTGTATTTACAGCATATGTACCTATTCTACTTCAAATCTTTGTTTTTACTAGTTCCTGATGTGTGTCCTGATGGTTACTATGGAGATAATTGCATTTATAAATGTCATTGTAAGGATGACACAGGCTGTCACAAGAATACTGGGTTTTGTGCAAATGGTCAATGTGCAGTTGGATACACGCTTTCAACTGCCAACATCTGTGAACGTAAGTATCGGTGCGGATGAATCAATCTTACACCACCATAAGTCTGCATTCATCCTTCTATGTTTGCTAAAATGGAACATCCAGTTTGAGCTTGTGATATGTACTTCAAACGGGACAAAAATGAACAGATTTACTCGATAATACTTATTGAATATTACAAATTTATACAGAATGTCATTCAAATAATGCAGACCTATCAATGATCGGACCGTCCACTTGTGTCTTCAAAAATTGACTTTCCAATCGGTTGTTTTGGTTTTTTTTTTTACTAAAGAATAGACATAGGCCTACGCATTGATGGAAAAGGTCAGTGGCTCATGCCACTGTCTTTGAGGTCATAACATTATCTGTTTTTTGTGACTGCACCTCAATACAACCGTTGATATGGGCCTAAAAGCCAAGCTACGGGGAAAACATCTGGGTTTTTTTCTAAGGATGCTTGACCAAAAACTCGGGAACGGTAAATGAGATACAGATTTTTTCATATTTAAAAATTAGCGGGGAGGATGAGTAACTACATTTTTCCATCTTTTCCCCAGTTTTTAAACATAAAAAATATATATCTTATTAACCGTTCCCGACTTTTTCTTCAATTCTTTGCCTTTGAAAAATCAGTTGTACAATATATCATTTTTTTGTTTTTCTCTGAAGCCTGGCTTTAAGTTATTTTAATACTTAAAAGTATTATTTATATCCAGTTAGGGTCCAGATGACCAAATGGTCAATATTACCATTGTAGAACACTTTACAATTCACATGTCATGAAATAATTAATATTTTCAATGACTAGGCATATCATGAATGATCTAGTTCTCTATGTATTCTATTAGCTTGCCTAGACAATTCATTCGGAGATGGCTGTAGTAAGACATGTAACTGTGCATCGAGTTCTTGCCATCACGAAAGAGGCTGTTCTGGTAGCTGTTTTGATTACTGGTTGAAGCCATCGTGTACTGTAGGTAATTATATTATTGATTCACGAGAAACATTTCTCACTATTATTTGCTTTTGTTTTGTTTTAGAAAATGGTAACCACATAACTTAAATCCACATTATTACAATTTCTGTCATGATCAACTTCTCAAATTATTTCATTCTAGATTGTTGAGATTTTGGGTTGCCTTAGGCAAACACGAAGTATAATAAAGATATTATTATCTAATAATAATAATAATAATAATAATAATAATAATAATAATAATAATAATAATAATAATAATAATAATAATAATAACGACATCAACAAAAGCAGTTGTAAACAACGGTGGTGGCAGCGTCAATGACACCTTAAATTTAGATACCATTATTGTTGTTCTTGTGTTGTTTTTTGAGTACACAGGTTTTTAGCATATACAGACATTATTCATACAAGTGTTCATGTCTGCGTCTGAAGCGTTTAGGTTGTTTGTGTGCAGGTAATGTTTAGAGTGGCGGATCCGGGGGGGGGCGGGGTTCAAGGGCTTTACGACGAACCCCTATCTGTGAAGAAATGTAACACGCCCCTTCAAAAATTACTCGTTCCCCTAGTCGCCGCCCCCAATAAAATCACTTGCAAATAGTTTAAAAGCCAACTAAAATCACCTTTATTTTGCCAGTTAGCGCCCCTTAACTAATCATCGAGCTCCTCCATTTCACCTTCACGCCCTCCCACCGCCTCCCCCACATCAGCACCTTCATTTCAAAACTTCTAAATACGCCACTGAATATTAGATGTATTTATTGTATGCATATTGACAACTGAGATACATCTACAGTGATGTACGTTTCTAACTTCATGTTTTCATCAGGAATTGTGGCTACAGCATATGACAAATGCAACCCAGGTGAACATACAAACATTACCTGTGCAGTATCTGGTAATTTAAGTGGAGTCGAAATCCGTTTACAAATCAAAAGCAATCATTCACCCACAATCAAACCAGTAAGAGTGGAAAATCTTGAGGGCTTCTCATTGGCCAGATTTAGTGCCGAAGCAGATGTTTCAAGGGAATACCTTTGTCAGATTCAACATGGTTTGTACTGGGCTATTCGCGCTATAAATCTCGACGTTTACGGTAAGAAACTGCTGAGAACTATTTTGAAGAACATATCTGTCGAGATTAAAATCTTTATTCACATAAAACCTCTGAAATACGACGATGCAAATTCTTCATTTCTGGACGATTCGTGGTGTCAACGGTAACGTTACACTAAAAGGAGGAAGTCTAGACCAAAATATGTATTATTCCAATTAAACAGTGCTATTTAGTGGTAGGCCTATGGATGTTTTAAAAAAACATCTGTAGAATTTACTATAATGATTTGAGTGAAACTGGTGGGGCTTATTACACACTGTGAATTCCCATTAAAATATTTACATTTATAGATCTACCTGTCTATAATGGCAAACCATCTGTCTTGAATTCAACACACTCTTCGGTGACGTTTGAATGGCGGCCGTGGAGCATTAATAAAGGAGACACGGGTGAAGGTCCTGTTATTGATTACGTCGTCTTCTATAAACGGTCACGCGATCAAGAATGGAACTCTCTCCCCAGTACTGCCGTGATTTGGAAAAAGGCATTAACTCCAAAATCCTAGTTTTGAGTTATTGAGCAAAACGGGTTTGTCGTTAGCCTTTTGTACTGGAAATGAATCCTAGTAATTTTTTTTGGCAAATATACTAAACATATAATTAAAAAACATATTAAATAATTTTCATGGTGATTTTTGTTCTTTAACCCTATTTAAATGGAGATAATGCACTATTCCAAATTTTAACAGGCGTCAATGGTGCATGAAAAATCTGAAGTTAGGCATTAACTCCAGTTTTTCCAGTGAAATGTGTATCTTACGTAGCCAAATTACAGTATTTCTGACAAACAAATAATGTATGCCAGTGTCAATTATATATTTCACAAAATTTAGTCCATGTGGTAGAAGATTTTTTAATATGCCATTTTTTAAAAACCTAAGTAAAGCTAGGCATTATGTGCATTTACAAGCTATCATGACTAATTAACTATGCGTTATTGTCTTCTGTGATTGGTTCATTATGATCTGTTCATTGTTTGGTGGAGATAATGCCTTCTTCCAAATTATTCTGCATTCATGGATTGGAGTTAATGCGTAAATATAATATTTATTGCATATTTCTGGACATTTTTTGTGGTATATGATCAATTCACATGATAGAATACATCTATAGGATGCCATAGAAACAAAAATCCAAAAATCTCAAAAAGTGGAGTTAATGCCTTTTTCCAAATTACGGCAGAGTACATCTGGAATGACAACAGCGGAAGTGAAGCAATTAGAAGAAATTACTGAATACGAATTTGCTCTTGCAGCCGTCAGACCCGGCATCGGAGGTCGCGGAAAAATGAGCTTTGTTTCGACGTCTACCACTAGTTGTTCACGTAAGTAATCATAATTGCCTGCTTACAAATTACTCATAATTAATGTTGTACATATACTGTTAAGTGCAAATTCAAAACTGAATTGCTTTTGATTGTTTCACAGCTCCTGTAATACCGTTCAGTACACTCACAATTTATGGGGACTCATCGAGGCAACTTACGGTTAATTTGTCGGTATGTTACTACGTTTATGAATGAAAACAATTCTGTTTTTATCCCCATCCTTTCCTCCTCACCACTAGCACCATCATCCTTTATCTTTTCATCGTTTTCCTCACCATCAATATACTGATCATCTTACGTCATCGTTAAATTCACTACCATTCTCGTTATCATCACATCACCATCATTAACATTAGTTAAGAATCTGTCTTTCACATGGTAATCTTGAAAATTGTATATTTATTTTTTAAATTAATAATGTATAATTAAGGATATATTTTTTGATAATTATTTATATTATTCATGTGGTAATTTTGATGAATTTGTACATAGAACTTTTAAATTTTGTAATGTTGATATATTTAGTAATCATTTTTAATTTCAATCCTTTTATTCAATGTATTTATATGTTTTATATTGCCTGTGTATATATGTCTTTTATAATGTAATGCAATCAAATTCAGCCATTCGCTGCTGATTGCAAATCATATACCGGAATAAATAAATAAAAAAAATAAAAATCATTCTTATCCTCGTATATTGTTGTATCACGATAAATAGCTCTAAAAATTGATATTTTTCAATGGTAGGCTCCTCAGGTCGCTATGACTTGCCCGATCACGGTCTTCAAAATTTATTACTCTGAAGTTGGTTTCGAAGCAAATGAAACGCAGATTGTCGTCAGCGCCTCTGCCAGAGAGTACGTCATCAGGAATCTGAAAACTTTTACTGCTTACAACGTGGAAATAACGTCAAGAAACCAAGATTACGAAAGCCACCGGTCTTCAACTACGGTCTATACGGCTGAAGAAAGTAAGAACCTCAAAAATCACACAAATTGTTGACAGCCTTTGTAGGCGAAATGAGAATTTTTGTTAGGATTTATACAATAACAGAGATGATTAGTCATTTTGAAATGATTGTGACATGCGGTGAGCTAAAAACAAACTTATTCGATCCACCGGCAAGATTATTAAGTAGGATGCATGTAGTATCGATTGCCATTACATTGTTTCAACGACAGTCTGAACTGTTCGTATTTAAACCAATGTTCGCATGCTACGCCACCTTTCGAAACCTTTTATTTTTTTTATTAGAAGATGCAGTCGAAGGGAACTGAAGAAGCAATTAGGCAAGAGAAGTGAGAGGAATTTTGTTAATTACAGATTAAAAAATTTTGGGATTGTGAAAAGAGAAATAAGAAGATGGAAGAGAATTCAAGAGATACAGTGTACTGATGGTTGGTGCGAGTTGAACGAATCCACCAGCGGGACAAAACAGCAGAGGCATTATATTTTAGCTTATCAAAGCATTTTTCAGAGAATTAACATGACGATAAAAAATGAAAAGACAGATCTACGATGGGTAGTGTCAAGTTGTAGAAAAGTGTGAGAGATTCAACTTCAATAAGTCTGATTGTTTTGGGCTGTACCTTGTCGAGGAGAATATCAGATGAAGGAGTAGTACGATACCCCAGATTGAAAGCAGCCTTATAAAGCAGTAACATGTGCTTCTAGATCAAAATATTTTCAGAGTGGAAGAGAAAGCCAAGCATCTGAGGCACATTTTACAATATCTACAATGTGAGCCTTCTAGACACCCCATTATTCTACTGTCATCATATTCATATATGTAGGACTGGTGACTGTCCTTGTAAAAATGCAATATGCGAGTGTTATATAATCCTAATCTGGCTTATGCCGTCCTGTATATTGTATATACAACCCGATTACAACAGTTTAATTACTATACTGGAACAGCCTTAAACGCCGGGAACTAGCGTAGATTTTTAAACCAATTTCTAAATACGCCATTTTGGAATTCATCCGAATTATGACTGTAAACACACGCATTTACAGGATTTTTTGGATTCAAAATAGTACGTATACAGGTATGTATATCATGTCTTTCTCTAAAAGTTTAGACTTATATTAACTCTAATGCTTTAAAAAACATTAATGTTCAGTCAACCTAGGCCTAGACCAAGGCCCTCGGCATAACCTAGTTTAGGCCTAGGCCTAGATGAACAACTTTCGGCTAGATCATGTGTGGGAAAAAGCCGGGCCTCTCGCTTAGGGGTGAAGGGCCTCGGTATTTAGAATTGCCAAGAGGCTCCCTACTTTGAGTGTCATAGTGGGTCCCCCTAATAGTACCTCCCTAGTGTTCTATTACCTCAGTGCAGGCCTATTTGAATTCACTATTTCTACTACTAGCCTCCTATATTATTATTAGGCTTAAGGCCTACTAGTACTAGGCCTATAGAGCCCTATCTATGTAGACATAGGTCTCTAACCTAGGCATAGCCTAGATTCGATTTTATTACAGAGGTTCAACCTAACCACGCCTAGGCTAGGCTCCCCCCCCCCCTGCCACTCCCTCCCTTCCTAGTCCAAGTCTGGCTTAAATACTGCATTATTTACTAGATTTACTGCTCAGTGCAGCTAACTGGTTATTGGTATTAATGAATGTTATCAGTTGAAAACTACCCTTGGAATAAAAAGAAAGGTCCAGGGAGGAAATTTTACAGATTGACCACCTAATAATAATAAT